GTAAAGTGCTTTGGTATCTCACATTCCACTTCTAAATAAATTTTCACATTTCCAAATTTTTTTATTTTTTTATATGAGCATTTATAATAGTAAGTAAATATATTAAAAATATTTTATTGTGATATTATAATATCATTAGGTACGAGTATGAGTGTTAGCACCACTGTTAATTAATAGCGCAATTATACATAAATAGGCCTAAATTTACAGTTACCGCCGCCAGTACCGTTCCTAGGGGGGTGCGAGAGGTGCGTATGCACCGAGCGCCAAGACTACCAAGGCGCCAAAATCTTTTTATAATCTAAGTAATATTACTGATAGATGAAAATTGACCATATTAATTTAAATTTTTTAACGGTCTCAATACAATAATATCATCCTGATCGGCGGTGTCGATTCATTACTTTGACTGGCGATGAAATAACGTTTTGAAATGTATTGTAGGCATTTATGTAAAAATACCTATTCATGTATGGATATAATTGGCTTTTATTTTTATCCCAAAATAACGACGTCAATGATCGTCAATAACAATAATAAACTATAAATATGTGTGTACTGTATTATTATTATTATTATATATAATTAATAATTTAATAACAGAATTTCGACTGGAACAAGTTGTATGATTTTATTTTGAACCCATCTATGGTAATGTTCACATCACTCATTGTAGAAATAGGTACAAAATTATTTTTTATTAGCATTTTTTGAAGATAAGTTATTTTTTATGCAATCAAACAAATTTGATTCGTAAATAAATGATACCGGTTTAGTATGATAAGCCTATCTATCAATATTTTTTATTCTTAGAAATGTGTATAAAATGGTAAATCTAACGAATTTCTCTCCTCTATTCTTATGTTATCTCGTTATAGGTATAAACATACATAGTAGAGAAGATGAGGGCACTAAAAATAATTTTTGACACTAGATACTAATAATGCTAGGCACAGCACTGACCGCCGCCACCGATCGACACACACACACACACACACACATACACACAAATTACTTTTGTTACATTTGTTTATTTTATTTTTATATTTAAAAAAAAGTTATAACTTCAGAAAATTGTACAAAAGATTTGCCAGCAAAACATTTTATACATATTGGCTGCTTGAAATCTTATAATATAAAATTAAAATATAAATATATGCCAACGCGAATATATCTGAAATTTAGAGGTATATCGTGGCTATAATAGACCATAATCATAATATAATTAAACAATTAGTAGTTGATAAAATGGTATATTTAAAACCGTTTAAAAAATACTAAATAAAAAATGTAGATGACCATACTGATACAGGTTTGTGAAAACAAATTATGCAAGAAACACTAGATTTGGCTAAACAAAAAAAAAAAAAAAAAAACAAACGAACATAATATTACAATGATTTCAGGAGAAATTGAAATTCCCAAGTTGATAGCTCCAATACCAAGACCAAACATTGAAGAAATATCTACGTTCTAAAAGATATTCAAGATTTTCCATTCAATTTTATAAATTTGTTGTCAAAATATATAGGTTATTATTTTTAGTTTATGATAAGATAAATACATATATTAATATGTAATATCGAAAAATATCATCTTATTAAGTACCTATACTAATTTTATAATACAGTTTATGAAAAATAATTTTATTATAAAAATTAATTATGTACATTTAAATTTAGTAACACAATCAAACGTACACAAACATTTATGAAAACCCACAGACTTATGATAATTATTGTCTTAATTTTTTATTTTTGTTGAATATAACAAATAATATTAATAAATAACATAGACCACGTCGCCGTGCCTTGTGATCTTGTAACTTCAAGCCGCTATTTCTCTTGGAATCAAACGCCTCAACGACTCGACCTATACAAATATTAGTACCGCCATTAGTTATGTTAATTAATTGCCTGTTAATTGAATCCAAAGTCTTTTTTTTTTTTTTTTTGTGGTCTTTTAATTATCGGTTGTGAATTATATAATTTTAAGATTATAACAACGTGCTATCGACCGCTGCTGGCTCACTGATGCGCGAAATTTAACACTGTCGCCTAAAAATTCTATCAGTTCATCGGTAAAAGTCAACGCAAAATATTATTTTTTCGAGCGCGAATCGCCACATTCTGTCATATTTATTTTGTATATCGTGTGTGCGCGAATCATCAAATTTTAACACGTATCTATTTTTATATATATATACATATATTATTGTCCTAAGGATTTATTTGTTACCCTTGGCGTATTTTTTTATTATTATGTAGCTAAGAAGCCGTTGGCCAAAAATTGGGAGTTTTTGTTTTAATTATTATTATTGTTATTTATTATATGATTATACAATTTTATATTGTTGGGTCAGGAGCCAGAAGAGCCAAATTGTTTTAAATATTATACTTTTGCTAAACATTTTATTGCATTTTCAAATTGATGTTTAACATAGAGTTAGGTACCCTTTTTTTACATTTAAATTATCAATTTTTCTTCCTTCATTTTAAGTATACGCACATACATACCACCCACACACTAACACTCACGGAATTTGCTCGGCGACCCTGTCCACTTCCTATTAAGTGCTATACTGCTATATATACAAGTACATATATACACATAATATACACAGGTCGATCGGTGTGTAGAGCGTACTAAATATTTTGGTGACCGAGGCGCGCGTATTATTAATTATAATATGTTCCCTGTTCATACAATAAGTATTTATTATAAATTGAAAATGCACATGACTAGCTAAACAATCAACACTTTGAAAAAATCTAACGCTTAATCACTGTCCACTGATAATGTTTTTAACTTGACTTTAAAATCACTGAGATATTTAAGCTAACAACATACGTGAGAAGTTCTGCTGAACGTAAATTTGCCATATTGTTTATTGGTAAGACAAAAACAACATATGCGAATGTGGCGTCCTTTTAACTAAAATATGTAATGATCATATCAATTACCTATCTTTTAAAATGGTTTATTAAATTGAATGAAAACTAAATTAATTAACACAAAATTAGTACCTAATAAAATGTTTTAAAAAATAATTATTAGTGCTTTTAAAATTTTTACTGCCTTTTTGCTTTATTCGAAGTGTTATTTTTAATGTTTAAACATTTTAATGAGCTACAACATCCGCACGCACTCTAATTATCAATTTTAATAGGTAATATACAAATAAAAATAGTTGTTATAGCTATATTTTTAATTTTTATTGAACATCTATGATAAAATTATGTGATATAAAAATTATTTATCTTGTTCTATAATTTAGTATCTAAACAGACTAAACATATAAAAAAAAAAAAAAAAATACCACAGTTTGTTCAATAGTAAATATTACTCCTAAAACTGTCTCTACAGATAAGTATTAGAGAAAGAATAATTTTATTATCATTTAATTATGTTTACCAATATGTGGTGCTATAATCGATTTATCGTAAAACATTCAATGAAACCTTAATAGTGAATGTATTTCATTAAGTCGATCATCTAATAAATATAAATATAACACTTGTATAGAATAAAACACTATAATTCATTAACAAGATACCTATATAAGTATACGTTATAGGCCAAATATTTATAATAAATAAATCTACTTTCTGGAGTCGATAAGTTATAATCACTTAAATAGTCTGCTATTTTAGTTTCATTTATCGCATTGTAATCAATGATTGCCTACTAAATGCCAGTGAACTGCAGATATTGTCGAAAATATTAATTAGGCTCAAGTTCTAATTTTTCACGTGAATCATGAAAAGATTTTTTTTGAATTTATTTCAAGTATAATATAGATTAATAAATAAAAATTCATAAACAATTTTCTTTTTATAATTAAATTTTGAAAATGTAATACAAGATGAGAATAATTAGTCGCACTGAAAACATGAAATCTAATAAATATATGAGGAAAATTATTTTTATAAACATTTAGGTCCAAATTGAAATTACTTATTTAAAAATAAATAATAATTTGAATTTTTTTTTTTTAATAATTTAAACCAACTCTAATGTATATTGTATTATTACAAATTTTACTGTACACACAACCTACGCAATGATATTTTTGATTTCTTTTAAATAATATTTTTAGAAAAATGTTTTTCAATAACTTACTATAAACACTAAAAGTAAAATAAATGGCCTTAATAATTATATCAAAAAACATAACATCATGGAATATACTTAGTGAGAAAATACCGACTAACCATCTCCACTCAGAATCGTTTTTCGTAGGTATCTATATTCTATACAATTATATACCATCGAATTCAAATTTAACACATCCATAAACCATAATAGCGACCCACGCACGACACCTACTGCAAAACGGTATTAATTTGGCAATCGGTTTTTTATTTTACAATGTAGACCTCTAATATCTAAATGAATCGTGTTCAAAATCACGCATATTTACAATGTTGAATAATTATTTAACAAAAAAAAAAACAATACACGGGCGTCCTTCATAGTTTCGTGTCCCTCTGACGAATGGTTATTAAATTATAACATATATATATATATATATATATATATCTACTATTTATAATAGTAGTGTGTGAAATCAATAGTATTTATTTCTTTGTCAATGAGTGATGTTAAAAAAAAATGTGTAACTTTAAACAGTAATTGTAAAGGAAAATTAATGAAATAAATACTAAAATATGTTTACAATTATAAACTTTAAAATTACAAATTAAAAATGTATGTCATCGTGAGTAAAGACTAAAGAACTCAATTATTATTAAAAAGACGTCGTACTCGCATGTGTTGTATCCGCTTACACACGTACGACATAACAAATTTTCATTCACCAGTTGAATACCATAATAATGGTATGTCTGGCAAGGCTGGACGGTCGTCCGACCAGGTGGCGTCGGCGGCGACGGCGGCGACGGCGGCGCCACCACCGTTATCTCACCGCCGTAGGGTGCACCACTGGCGATATCGGCCAATCACGACCCGAGTCTCGTGTTTACTACCGATCGCGGCGACTACCATCAGCGCGAAATATTCATCATTGTTTGTTATTACTATTATTATTATCAAATTCGATCGGAAGCGCACAAACTCGCGACACTGAGACGAAGACCTGGACCTTAAGGAAAACGAGTACCATTTTTATAGCCGTACGACCGTAGAGACGAATCGCACCCGACGACGACATCGTTTACGAGTAGTTGACACGATCGGTGAGACGGGCGACGGATTAATCGAACACATCCACTCGCGTAGTCGGCCATCATGTCGCGGAATCCGTGACTTCGACGCACGAAAAAACATATCCGATAGCAGCAGCACCGTGACCGCTGTCTCCAGTCTTGTTTCCACAAAATGCGCCCGAGCGGCGGCATTTGCCGGAAACTCTTGCTGTCCGGTTACTGCTTAGCGCTGAGACTTCTGCTGCTGGTCGCATCTGTACGAAGTAAGTACAAAACAAACACAACTGTCGTACATCGATTGTTTCTGAACACGATCGACGATTCTTATATTATCTTTTATATACGTTATGATACAACGTTATCTGTTCTTACTCCTCATAACATGTAATTTCTTCTCTTCTTTAATGCCAAGTAGCTATTAATTCTAATGCCTCACATGAATTTTCGTTTTGTAAAGGAAGTTATGATGCTGATTATACTTTTAGTACTTGGCACCCAGTGTGTACCTATTAGTTGCAATGAATCTTACACAAAGAATACTATTTACTTATTTTACCATCTTTCTGTGATACTATACGTGCTATAATAATACAAAAGGTCAAGACTTGAATACCAATAATATTATTTAATTTTAATCTTTAATATAATAAATAGATAATAACAATAATAAGTTAAATCGGAAATAAACAGAATATCCTACGCGAAAAGAGTTATCTGAGTTGTAATACAAATGTGTATCAAAAAATACTGATTATTTAATGATCAGCACTCATACTATATGCTATCAAAATTTTTAGTCCTTGAATTTTTTTGTCCATAATTTTAATTATTATTTCTTATCTTTGTCGAGTTTGCAATGTCTAACATCATCTTCCACTGTTAAATTTTCTTTTATCTTTGGAATTAATCAAAATAATTAAGTATAAGTATATTAATATAGTGAATAAACATTGGCAGATAACTATATTTTTTGTAGATAACCTATTGAACCACCAAATGTGTGATAAATCAGATATTGTACAAGTGCATAATAATCTTTGTACATTGATTTTTAAATTTTAACAGTCAATTTCTAGGAAGATAACTACAATCATAAGTGTTATCAAAAAATTAAAATAGATTGAGCAATCTATTCATGTAGGTTTTAAAATAAATATCATATTAGTGAGATCATATTTTAAATTACATTTTTTCAAAAGTACTGTTATTATAATATAAATGTTTTTACAATAGATAAAAATCATTAAGTTATAACAACTAAAAAATATAAATTTATATTTTATTTCAATTTCTTATATGACTAGTATTCAAGTGGTATGATTGGAAAAATTGTTTTATTTCAAAATCTGGGATCTAGTAACAAATATTAATTTAAATATTTAATAAGCACTTTTAAATTGAAATACCTATTATTAAATAATTTTAGTATGAATAGTTTAGTGTTATCTCCTTAAAATATTATTAATTTTTTCATATGTAATTTGTTAACAATAGGTAGTGTACGGTTTATAACCGAACCAAGCGATATTATAACAACTGCTGGTAAAACCATACGATTAGATTGTGAAGCAAATTTTGATAGTGTTGCTACATTGCCTCAAATTAGATGGAGGATTCCTGATGGACAATACTTTGACTTTATTGGAGATACGAAAAGGTAAATTCTTTAAGACTAAAATATTATTTAATAGTTTACAAAACCATTAAACTTTTATAATTTTTTTTTTTTCATTAGTTGAATATTCAATATTAATTATTTTTATTTGTTTGTAATCTTAAAACTCTGATTTTATGACTATTTAAATAATTTTATCATGACTAAAAATCTTCCTTTAAAGTACTCTATAAACTTAAAGGTAGGTTCTTAAACTATTTTTAATATTTTTGTTTTTTAAAATTATTTTTATCTTATTACCTAATATGGATAAAATATTAAATAAGATTAAAGATTATAATATAAGAAAAATATTAAATTGACCTGTCATAAGGATTTATATTAAATTAAAAATAAACAAATATCAAAGGTAATATTTTTTAAATAATTCAATAATTAACTTTTTTTTTTTGTTATTTATAAGAATGCTTATTTTTTTTAGTTTCTAGAATCAGATAATTTTAGGATAGTTGTAACACCTAAGAAATACATTTAATGTGATACTTAGTTTAAATTGTTGTCATGTTAATAATTTTTAATTTTTTAATTAACTATGTTTTAGTGTTATTAAACATTTAAGCACGTTAATAACCTCACCTCACCTCAATTGTTTAATTTTTTGCATATCTATAGTCATATAAAATGTTTGAATAATGATAGCTTCCTCTTCTAACAAAAAAAAAATCAATTAAATGTCTGGTTAAGTTATTGAGTAAATAATTATAAATTAATATACAATTTGTTAGGATATAAATTACATTAAAAAAAAATTTATTAATTCAAGAAAAAGTTATTAGTTCTTATATCTAATTATAATATTATACTGTTTTAGATCTATATTGAAAAATGGGTCTCTGCTTATTAAAAATGTTTTCAATAATGATGAAAAAGATATTTCTGAAGGCTTAGAAGCATATCAATGTGTAGCATTTGTTGATAATATTGGTTCTGCTGTTAGCCGTATAGCAACTATAACTCTTGCACGTACGTTTTATTTAATGGAGTTTTTATATTTATTTATTAATTAATTATGAATAATAATTAAATAGGTCTATCACCATTTGAAAAGCAACCTACAGATTTAAAACTTCTTCCTGGACAAACAGCATACTTCTCCTGTGTTATTAATTCACAGCCTTTACCAAAAATAACTTGGTTCAAAGACCATTCGCCATTAGTAATTGATAGAACTCGTATGACAATATTCCCATCAGGTAAGATCATTCATTTATTACATCTATTTATTATGATTAATATTTAATATCACTTTATAACTAAATTCTATTTTTGTATTATATAGGGGCATTAGAAATTGATTATGTTCAAAAAGAAGATAATGGTGCTTATCGATGTAACGTGACTGGATTAGATAGGCATCGATTAAGTGACCCTGGAGTATTAACAATTGTTGAAAATGAAGGTTATTTTTTATTAAATATATATTTATAAATAAAAAAAAGTAATCTAGAAGATACCCACTCTGTTAATAGTATGTGTCGAGTTTACCTCATCGTTGAATAGAAACTTTAATGAATGTGTTAAATTTGAATTCAACTATAAATCATTCATTATTTATTATGGCATGTGTTTCTGACAAACGCTTTAAACTTTGATAATCAGGATTACCATACAATTATTTTAAAAATAACTCATAAATTTTAATTTTTACTTTTACCATCAAGAAGTACCAACTACATTAAATTTTCTACACAAACATCTTATACGTTTGAAGACTCACTATAAAATGTATAACAATCGATAAAAAAAATATCCATCATTATAGAATCAACGCATTCTTTACTTCTCTTGGAGTCTGATACAACTAAAAATTTAACTGTATTTATAATTGTTATAGATGTAATCAAAAGATTGAAAGCTCCAGAATTTGTTGCTAAACCTCAATCAACAATAGCTTTAGAAGGATCAATTGTAACTTTAGATTGTGCAGCTGTTGGAAATCCACGACCACAAATTTCTTGGCTAAAAGGCGGTACTTTAATTGATATGGCGTAAGTATAAGTATATCAATAGATTTTTTTTATATCATATATATCATGGAGTTCTTTATTATTTGAATTTTATAATTGTTTATCTATATACTTTAAATCAGTACAGATATTTGTAGAATTTATGTGTGTAAAATCAAAAAGATTTAAACCTTAACTTGTGTTACAAAAGCTTTAAAGTTTACCAAGTGAACCTTAAATTCACTTTGAGTACCTATAAGTTTGTAAAACCCCTCTAAGAAGTTCTTTAAATCAATTCTACCTACTTAGTAATAATTTCTTAGTGGATAATTGTTCTGATTGACTAATTGTAAAATGTTTAAAAACATACAATCTAAAAATTTTTGTAGATATTTATTTATTACAATTAACTAAAAAATGTCAATATTTGTTTTTATCAAAAAATATTTGAAAGTTGTGAATACTGTTTTGATAATAGTATATTAAATTTTTTAATCAATAAGATTTTAAAATAGCTTTTTATGTATGATCAAGATATTTTAAATATAAAATATCATGTTCTAAGAGTTGTTCTGAAAGTTATTTATCATATTATTTTATATGAACATTAAGGTTGTTATTTGAAATTATATTTTTGTTATGATAAATAAAAAACAAACAATCTAAATATTAATGTATGGTACCTATTTTTAAATGAATTAATAAAAGTTTTGAAGTTTAAGAAAAACTAAATGTTTGAAGCGTTATTCTTTGTATTTTAATAATAATGAATTCATTATAATTAACTTAAGATGGAGTATAAATATTTAAAAAAAACAACATTTTTAAAATTATTATAGATATCTGGACTCTCGGTTTAGTATAATCGGTACTGGTGGCTTACAAATAACACAAGTGAATAAAAATGATGATGGAAATTATGTTTGCCGAGCAGAAAATCACGAAGATTCTACTGATGCTTCTGCTACATTGGAAGTCCATAGTGAGTAACAAAATCTTTAATAATGTCTCATTTATAATCTAAATTATATAATAACATAAAATCAATAATTTTAATGTTACCTTAATATTAATACTTAAAACTAAATAATTCTAAATTAAAATACCTCTAATAGTCTTGTATGATTATGTATTTATAAATAATATATTAAATTTTTGCATTTAAAAATGTGTTCCAAAAATTCATTAAATGAAGAATATTTTTAATTATATATAAATAAAAAATAGCAATAATTTTTCATATTTCCAAATACTATGTCAATATAATACTTCAAAGATATATAAAAACAAATTTTAAATTATAAGTAATAATTAACCTTGAAACTATTTAAAAATATGCTAATGCTAATAAAACAAAATAAAATCATATTTATTTATCTTACATTATATGAAGCAACTTTTTAACTGATATATTGGATCTATCGAAAATAAATGTGAAGTCTACAGCAGTAATTCTCACACTGTGCTTTGTGAAGTACTTAAGGCTTAAGGCTCTGCATATGTGAAACCACTATTTTTTCAATAAACTTAACAATAATTAATATTTCCTCTAGTTCTATTAATACAATTGTTTCATTTACTAATAAATATCTTATTATTCTTGTTCCTATATATTTATATCATGTGTAACATGGTTCATAGAACATAGGTAACTAAAACTTAATATTAAATATTTCTAAGAGGCCCCGAGAGAAAAAGGTTCCGTGGCTGTTAAAGTTTAGGAATCACTGGCTTACAGCATTTAAACTTGATTTATAACATGAAGTCTGTAATTATACTCTTGGTTAAGTCTACAATTTAATGAGCATGGCCTGGTGTGGCACAGTGGTTGGCCTTAGTCCCCAATGTGTTCTGAGGTCTAACATCGGTCAGCGTCGCTAGCTCTCAGATGGGTGACCACCTGAGTTCTTAGTGACGAATCCATGGCGTACATACATACAGTGTTCCAACAGTACTAACCAAACTTTACAAACAAACCTTAACAAAAAACCTATTGTTTCTATCCACAGCTAATGACCTTAGTTGCGAAGCTTAAATTAAATCAATGAAAAACAAATATAATGTGCATGATAGAAATTATAGTTCATTATTTATAAAATATTAACATATATTTATACTTGCTATTATTTACAATCAGTTTAGTATTTTACATATTTATATTCAGATATTCAAATATTGTTCTAACTTCAATGCAATAAAATATATTGCCACAATGTCATCCTTGTATAAATGCAAGATTGTTCTCATTGGTTTCACTGTGTGTGTGTTTAAAGCTTGTGATCATTGAAAAATATAGTAATGAATTTAGTATTTACATAATATCATTGAATTATGTTATTTTTCTTTTACATTGTACATTATAATATCTACACTTTAAAATCTATTTGTTATATATTATTTTATTGTGTACTTTAGAATTATTTACTTTATAAGCTTAATACTTATACATATAATGTATCATGTATAACTTGAAAAAAAATATTGTATACTGTTTAGTTTCAATTAACTATGTATCTAGAATCTTTTTTGAATTATTAATTATTAACTACAAATTTTATAATTATAGTTAAACCACAATTTATTCGTAAACCTAAAGATACAATGGTTCTTGAAAAAGAAGATATAATATTGGAGTGTGAAGTAGCTGGTAAACCACCACCACGAGTTATTTGGCTCAAAAATGGTGACAGAATTAAACAAGATGAATACCTACAGTTTGTTAGCGGGTAAATAATTATATATTATATAATAAAATACAATGGTAAAATAACCTTAGTTAAACTGTCTATAATTGCACTGTTATTTATTTCAACTGAAATTGTAATGACTATCAATAGAAAATATTACAATGAAAAGCTTAACTAAAATTCTGTTTACATGCATGTTTTGTGGTAAAATTGTAGTAAAAATAATGAATATTTATATGACACTAAAAATAACATCATTAAGTAAATTGTTGATACATATGTTTTATAGGACCAATTTAAAAATATCTGGATTGATGACTATGGATTCTGGGATGTTCCAATGTTTGGCATCAAACCCTGCTGGGAATATTCAATCATCTGCATTTTTAAATGTTTTTCATGCAGGTAATTTAATAGGTTATCTATTTGTTTATACATTAGAAATGCTTTGCTTGAAAGTCAATAAACCTTTAGGCTTTATATATCAATAAAATTTTAATTTATCAGTCAAATATTAGACTTGTAACTATAGTTTCTTTTTTAATAAGTGTTCATATTCTTAGTTTGTGATTTATTTGTTTATCATATTAATTAATATTATGCTGAATGTATTATAATATACTTACAATGCTTCATTTAACCATATATATATTTATATAAAGAATATATTAAATAAATAAATAAAAATATACTATTTATTATTGAATAAAACAAAATGTAAATGGTATATAATAGAGTATATACTCTAATAACGTTAAAATATTTTATTTCGTCACTTGAAAATAATTGTAAGTTATATATTAAAATTTTTATTATATTTCTATTTGTATATGTGTTATTTATTTTTAAGTTGACAGCTAATATTTAATAATTTTACTAGTTAAATATCAATATAAATGCTTGAGCAAATTTTCTAGATTATTTATATAAATTAAAATATTTACATACCAATGTTTAGTATTATTTGAAATCAAAAACCTAAAAAAAAAAAAAAAAAAATTAATCTTTCTTGAATAATTATGATATATAAACTATTAAATAATTTATTTTTTAGTTTTAATTATTTATTATTTTTGCTTTGTTTTGTTTTGTTTTGTTTTGTAGTAATTTATTTATTTTTGTCTGCGTTTTGTTTTGTTTTTGCTTTTGTAAACAGAAAATTTACCTAGTTCAAACAGTTCTACAAATATTAGTACTGATTTCGTCAACTCATTCTCTGCAGCTGAAAAACCCAAAGACTTAAAAAACAACCTACCATCTTCCCCAAGAGCATTAGAAGCAAGTTTTGTGTCATCTAGATTAGCCACTTTAACTTGGATTAATCCACTAAAAACTAATGGCGAGATATTAACTTATACAATATTTTATCAAGAAGAAGGATCTGACAGGTTAATATTTGTATATCATGTTTTTGTTATTTATTTTATCTGGTGTAATGTGAATTTTTCAGAGAACGTATGACAAACACATCACAAACTGATATAACTATAAGCGGATTATTACCCGATAAGCATTATCTCTTTAGAGTAATGGCAGTAAATGAATATGGTATAGGTGATAGTTCACCACGTTTGAAAGTAATGACCAAGGCAGAAATTAATTTACCTGGACAACCTTATAATGTAACTGCTAAAGCAGTTTCACCTACATCAATATATGTTTCTTGGTCTAGACCAGAACATGGCAGTGAGAATTTGAAAGAGTATAAATTATTTTACATGAAGGTAAAAAACAAATAAACAATGTGTTAAATAACAAGCATACATTTATATTTATATAAATATTTTACTTTTACCAGGATTCAACTTCTGAAGAACAATTTTTTATAACGAAACATACCGATCGTGAAATAAGTGATTTAAGTCCATATACTAAGTATAAAATTTGGGTAGTAGCTTATAATCAAAATGGTCCCGGGATGAAGTCTTTAGAAGTGGTTGTTTTAACAAAACCTTCAGCTCCATCTCAACCACCACAAAATATTGTTGTTGAAGCAATTTCTGCTACTGTATGTGATAAAATATTTTATAATAATATAATTGATTATAAATGTTTATTATTTTTAAATTTAGGAGATTAATATTAGGTGGGAACATCCGCCAAAATCTAGTCAAAATGGAGTTATAACAGGTTATAAAATTCGATACAAAAAACCTGATAGAAAATCATCTGGTGATACCATCACAACTGCTGGTGATAATTTAGAATATCAAATTTCCAATTTAGATAAAAGTTCAGTAAGTAAAATGTTTTTTAATTACTTATGACCTTTTAGTATTTTTCTCTTTTAATACCATATGTGCGAACAAAATATGTAGTTTTAAGAATTAATATTCTCATTCTAGAAATGAAACTTACAGTTGTTAATTAATGAAGCTTCCCAAAAAAAAGTTTTAATAATCATTGTTAGATTCATAATGATTATAACTTCAAAAATCAAATTAAAATTATGTGTTTGTAATATCATTGAACGTCGTGTATTAATTTAAAACAATTTTATTTGGCATAATTAAAATTAAAACATTTGTATATCATCTAATCATCACATTTTATTCTACATTTTAAATATTGAATAGTATACATTTATGTATGCTTGTATTCAAAGTTCATATATATTGAATTTATTTTATTTAAAAAAAAAGTAAAATTATTATTATATTTTATTAATTATTTTAGACTTATCAAGTCCGTTTATGGACTCTAAATACTGTTGGATCTAGCCCACCTTCAGAGTGGTTTACAATATTAACATTTGATAAAAATCTTAGAGAAGATACTGTCCCTGATGCACCTACTAATTTCAAAGGTCAGTTTTAATTTTATAATCATATTTATTTTAGTTTATTAAATGCATAATTATATATTTTTATTTAATTGAATTTATAATTTTATCGAATAGTTCGAGCTTTTTCTAATTCACTATTGATAACCTGGTCTCCACCAAAAGATAAAAGTATAATTGTCAGAGAATATACACTAGGATGGGGTAAAGGTGTTCCTGATGTGTATAAGGAAAAAATAAATCCAAAAATACGACAATATGAAATTAAAAATCTAGGTAAATATTAGATAATACATTTTGTATTTTGTATTTTATTTATTTATTTCTATAATCATTTTTAGAACAAAATGCTGATTATGTACTGAGTCTTGCTGCTGTTAATGATATGGGTCTTGGGCCAATAGTATACCAAATGGCAACCATAAGAGAGCAATCTATTATAAACACATTAGAGGAATCATCAAACCCAGTAATACCACCAATTGGTTTAAAAACTAATGTTATTTCTCCAAATGCCATAGAAGTATCGTGGACAGATAATTCTCTTCTAGAGTTTGATGTAATACACAAATATATTTGCCTATATTATAAAATAAATCAGTTAATTTTATATTTATAAAACATTTTATTTACAGTCGAATGTTGATGATGTACATCTTTACCTTGTACGATACAAATCGTCCTATTCGCCTAACAATTCACGTTACAAATATGTCAACACTACTGAACTTTCTTGTATTATTAATGATTTAAAGCCTAATACTCAATATGAGTTTACAGTAAAATCGATCAAGGTAAATTTTTAATTTTCAAATATTGATTTATCTGGCCCACGAGAGAGTATCGTAAGTTTACCTATCAAAATTCTTCTCATAAGCTACACTCTCACCTGTAATATATACTGTGTAATTACTTTCAAAACATAATTACATCTTCTCTGTTCCTATTGTCAATGGCTGTGTAGTATTTGGCTGGTAGAAATGATTTATCGGTAGTAAGAGTAGTAACAGAGATTAGCCACATACACAAAACGAGTATTCTCTCGTGGTCTGAAATATAGTATTTTCACATTAACTTAAAATAAAATAATTTGGTATGACTTTAGGGACAATTTGAAAGTGCTTGGAGTTTATTGGTGATGAATAGTACTCAAGAAGCCAAACCAGCATCACCACCAAGAGATTTAACTGCTGTTAAAAATGATGATAAACCTCAATCTATAACATTAAATTGGCAACCACCAAAGTTTTCAAATGGACAAATTATTGGTAAGTTATTTAAAACAAAAAAATTCAATTACCATTTTAAATTATATTTTGTTTTAGCATATTTGATTTTATATACAACTGATGATACCAGTTCAGATAATGAGTGGATAACTGAAGCAGTTGAAGGGGATCTTATGTCTTACTCAGTTAAAGGACTGACACCAAATACTAATTATTTTTTTAAAATTCAAGCTAAAAATTCTATTGGTTATGGTCCATTTAGTCCTACTATTAATATCAAAACATTGCCAGGTATTATATTAATTTTTAATGTTTTGTATTCAGTATCAATTTAACTTGTTATTATTTATTTTTGAAATATTTTTAGGTGGTACTCCTTACAATGATGGAACATCACTAAAAGGTATTATCATTTTTAAAATAAATTATTTTTCTCTTTTATTACATATCTAATTATATATGTATAATTTTTTTTGTTTTAATTTCATTTATATAGATGGAAAAAGTGGTATTAACAACACAACCATTTTATATATACTGATTGCATGTTGTTTATTACTTATATCTTGTATTGGTATTGGAATTGCTTTATTGTGTTGTAAACAAAATAAGCCATTAAGAAACAGAAGTAAAAAAGGGTAATTTTTTTAATTTTTAATTTTAATTAGTTCTTAAAATATTTATAAATATATAATTCTACTTCAAATAAACTACACTACTAATTTTAGAATAAGTTAATATGAACAATATAATAAGTTTTGAATCAAAAATTTAAATTTAAATAATAATTTTAACATCCAAGAAATCGAATGAAATTAGTATCTTTTTATTTAAAGCAAAGTGAAACCAAATTCAGTTTATTGTCAAAAATAATATTTTTCATAAATGTAATGAAACTAAAATAAAACAATCAATGATGCCGCCCCTAAAGCATAGCTTGTGATGGGTGCAACAAGTTAATTACAACACTATCATATTACATTTTATTATTTATAATATCAATTGAGGCATTGAGAATAATGGTGGCTTATGCAATCATACAATTAATACGAATAGTACTGCTTTTTAATTCCTATTAAAATTGTATTCAGAAAATTAATGCAAAAAACCAAAATAAATTTCACTATTTGTATTATTTTATCAACTATGGTCTATGACAGTGGCTCTTAATTTTTTTAGTACCGTGACCCAAATTTCCCCCTGAAAATCTTTAGTGACCCACATGGTTTCATTTTTCAAAAAGTAGTTAAATAAAAAAAAATTTGATTTAAAATAATAATATAATACAACATATTTCAATTTTTTTAACAAAATTTGTTTATTAAGTTTTAAATTATTATTTTTCTTATTGTATAGGTTTATGATCTATATATCTTTACAAATGTACTTTTATTAATAACAATATATTTAATATTAATTTAACATATATTTCTTGGAATTTGTATAATTTAAAGAATTGTTCTTGACCCACCAAAAATTGACTGACGACCCACAATTTGAGAAACGCTGGTATATGATACATCTAACAGATCATTTAAATAGTTTTTTAAATTAATAAAAAAAATTCAATGTATTTTAGTTAGATCTGCCATTTTGCTTTACTCTCACACATAATAATTTTGTATGATACAAGATGTTTTTATGTCAAATTTTTAAGTAAGATTAATATATAGTCATGAAATGTATAATTTTATTGATTATAATAAACAATATTAAAAGGTAATTTATTTTTAAAGATAAGTCCAAACTGCCAGTCTAAAATAGATTTTTAACTTTATATTTTATGCAAAATAACAAAAACAATTATTACATACATTTAATATTAAAATGAAACATTTTAAATCTAAAACATTATATGATAATGGTTAAGATAATTTTAAAAATAATTATAATAAAATTAAAATATCATTTTTACACATACAAATCAAATATCTTAAATTAATAGAAACATGATAAAATAAGCTTATTATTAAAAGTATATTTTTTGATATTATACATATTTTTGTTTTTGTTTTGTTATATTTGTTCATAAACATTAGACAACATTTAAATTATTTATTCTTTAGTCATTACATAGCACTTTACTAAATAATAAATTGTTAAGAAGAAATTAAAAAATTATTTTTATAATTAAACTAATGATACCACAATGTTATGGTTGTAGATATAATAATTGTGCATCAATATTTGATCAAATATCCTAAATTCATAAATTATTAACAAAACTTTATTTCCTTATCTATTTTAGAATGCATCTATTTTTAGTTAAAATATAAATACATTTTTATTTTTCTTGAATTCGTAATTTAATATTAAAATTAAATTTAACATTTAACCAAAATCAAATTTTGAAATTTTGAAATGATTTTTTAATTACTAAGTACATATTGTTGACATGTTGAAAATATAATTAAATCTATTAAAAGTTTATTCTATTCATTTAGCCACACTGTTTAAGTATTGACTTGGATATATATTTTTTATTTTTTGCTCATGAAAATCAATTAGAACCTAATAACTATCATGTTCTTTACAATCTCATTTTAAATAAATATTATTTTTTGGGTTTATTCATTTTTATTTTTATCAAAAAATATATTTTAATCTGTGTATTTCATAAAACTTGATTGAAAATGTTTAATGATTAAACACAATCAATGATTTACGTGTGTTTAAAGCTGATAATCATGTTACTCAATTTGTTTTAAGTTTTAATACATTCTCATACTGATTATTTAAGAATGGCTTAGTTTTCACGTTTTAAGTTTTTTTCCAGTATTATGCAATGTAGTTATTAGGTTTAGAATTTATTTTTAATTAAACTAATGTAATACAATTTAGTTTTTAATTAAATTATGAAGTTTCTTGTATCAATTCATATTAATCAAACATTTTACTTTGTATTTTCTTAGTTAAGAAAAAAAATAATACTATCATAGAATATTACAGTTTTGTTGCACTAATAAAAACTTAGTTTATTAAGTTTCTATATTTAAATCAATTAAATTAATATTTTAGGAATGTTTTTTTTTTTTTTTTTAATCAGCTATGTTTATTATGGAAAAAATTTGCTAATATTTATAATGGATATTAGATAGTAATATTTCAGTATTAATAGAACTATAATTAATGCAAATCATTTTAAATTCCCTCCAATAAAAGTGTAATTATTCCCACAGAAGTACTAGCATGACACAGAAAACATTAATATTAGATATGAACTTTTTTTTGTCCACAATCATTTAATCCACTACTATGGGCTCATATAACAATTAAAATTAATTGTAATAATAAAATGTTTCAATGCAACTACATAAAAAAAAAAAAAGGAATGAAGCAAAAATATGCCAATGTTGATTTAAATTTTTGATTCTAATTAAAAATATATCATTGTCTTAATTACTATTTTCTTCTAAAAAAAATTTATGTTAATTATTAATCATTAATATTTGACATTTAATTTTCACTAAAGGTATATTAAAGGATCAACTGGTTATAATGCTAAGGGAGTAGCTCAGTCTCCAAGCATTAAACCACCAGATTTATGGATACACCACGATCAAATGGAATTGAAATCAATGGAAAAATCATCACAAGGTTCATTAGATACTAGTTCTGGATGCGGTCAAGGAAGTTCAAACACTTATGATGGACCTGATACTCGTGTTACCATACATCATGTACCGCAGACTACCAATTCTTTAGAAAAAAATAATTATGTTTCGTCTTATGTTGGTATGTATAATAATATAATATATATTATGTATGATTAAAATGAAAAATTATTTTTGTCTATTACATTGTATTATATTTGAAATAAGTTGAAACAAATAATTTTGGCTTTAAAAATAATTTTAAAATTGAGAAATGATTCAAACATGTTTTGAACTTAAAGATGGAATGAAAATAAAATATATTTTCATTTTAAATTATAATTTAGTCGACTTAATTTTCTGTTGATTTTTATTACTTTATTTATGTATTATTTTGCATGTTAAAGTTTTATTCATTTTTATTTAATATACATTAAGGTAATACAATTATTCAACCTTTATTGTCGGATGAAAAAGTTTCCACGTTAAATAAACGCTTTAAACCTGTTGTTTTACCTGTTGATTCATTTGATTCTATTTATAATGATAGTAAGTTATAGTTGTTAAATTATTTTATTTTATCAATAAATTAAGTTCATCATTATGGTGAAAAATAATTAAAATTTAATTATTATAATGTTTTTAGCTATGGCAACATTACCTAGTCAGGAATCTCGTTCACCTCATCCTAAATCTCAATATGCAACCACTACTAGAGCTCACGTAACTGTAGATTTAACAGCCGGTAAAACACAAATCATTTTATTATTATGTTATTTATTATAATTATTCTTATTATTTTTTATCAGGAGTTCCTGAAAATAATTATATTGTTCAAGCCACTACAGTTCCAGATAAATTTGAATCCATACCAGTATCATCAGCTGCAAACCTACAACAACAACAACACACGTATGTCTTTACTTTATTACTTAAATCTATTAGGAACAAAAAAGATATAAATTTATATTGTATATTTGAAAACTATTGTCATTAATTAATAATTTTTTTTTTTTCGAACTATTGATAGTGAACTAACTGGTATAGTTATTATATCAAATATTGTGAAAACCATGCTTTATTTAATTAATTAGGATTAAAACTGTAATAGTTTGTTTCATACTATATAAGTATGATCTTCAAGTTTTTTCCTTAAACCATACATAATTAAATATAAATTACTGTTAAGCCACATAAAACATGCACACATTAACTTAAAATACTGAAAATATTAATATTATTGCCATTAATTATTAAATCCATAATTGTATCATCTTTAGATGAAGTAGACATTTTTTGATATTTATTAAATTGTAAAAATGCAGTCCAATTAAGAAAAATGAAAAAATAAATAAAATTAAAATAATCCTTTTTTTTTTATTTTTGTGACCTTGCCTTGCCCACTAAAATGTAAAAATTAATTTTTATTCATCATTATTTTTTTTAGAGGATTAGTGAACTCTAGTGAAAAAAGACAACAAGGTCATCCCTTGAAAAGTTTTAGTGTTCCTGCACCTCCACCACAGTCAGCACCATCTACTCCTCAACAAAAACACATAGGTATTCAAAAATAATTTGAATCATAATAATTATAATTTATTAATATATTCAATATACATTTTAGTAACAGTTAGACCTCAAGGATCATCCAGCCCATATAAAAAAAATATTTACTCAGCTATTAACAATTCACCATCCAGTACATCAATGTCTAGTGGTCCTAAAACATGGAAGTCACCATTAACAGGAGTGAATCAAAGAGATACTATCACAGAAGTTGAATCGCTTAGTAAAATACAAGTAATAAAAATTGCTCAACTTTATTGCTTTTAAACAGTAAAATAAAAAAAATCTTTAAAACTTTAAGTAGAATTATTACGTTAAGTTACTACAATAGCTTAATTTTACTGTTTAACATAACAAAAAGTATTTATTATAATCATAATTAATGTAAAATACTAAAATATTTTCTGTTATTAATTTTGTAGCCATAAAAATAATTCTGTGGCTTGGGTCACAGGAACATTTTGACTAAATATCACATTAAATATAACAATAAATATTAAAAAAAAAAAATAAAAATCCCTTCTTTTTATTAATCTATAAACTTAAGATACTTTAAAAAATATTATACATTTGTAATTATTTCAGGTACATACCTATTTTAATCAGACAAATCTTCTTCGTTATTATTTCTTGAAGTAGGTTTTACATTTTGCATTAATGCATTGTGAAATGGTTGACTAGTTACATTGATGTATGAAAATAATGAATTCAAATCTTTTAGTTTTTCTTTACTTGGAAGCAAGGATTTGGAGTTCAAAGTTTTTAAACCAATCAATTCAAAGAATGTCTAGTTTCCTTAATCAAATCTAATATTTTGAAATTTTCTTTTTCATTGTTAGAAAAGTAATGCTTATATATTACTTTACCAAAACTGTCAGTTGTGTATTCTATCCATCTTAGTTTGTTCTAACACACAGGTTTGCTATTAATGTTAACTTTTTTATGAACATAAATATTGATAAATTAATTTTTGAAGTTAATAAAATGTTCTTGCTTCATTTTAACTACCTTAATGGGAGGGTTTCTTTGTACTGAACTAATGAGTATAACCCAATCTCTTGGTAACTCAATATCAACAGATGTATGTTTTTTTTTTCAATTGCTGCATGTATTGTGTTGCTTCTATGGGGTATGTCCAGGAATTAAAAACTATGGTGAACTATTAGTTTTCTTCCCATTTCTTTGAAATAAGCTACTATGTACAAAAAAATAATAACTATAAAAATATTACGATATTGTCCTGGGCAGCAATCGTTATAAAATACTACCTCCTGAATATCATGACTATGTTCTAATTTATAAAGTAAGTATTTGTATACACAAGAAGCAATTTCTTGTCTTCTGCAGGCAGCTTCAGCTTAGATAAAAATAGGCAGATTTATTTTTTCCGTGGATCTCATAAAATGTTAAATTGAAGTCCACAATGGACATTTATAAAAAAAATCGCTCACCAGTTAAAAATGGTGTTGCAAAAAATTTTGTAGATCAAACGAAACAGAACAGTATTATTTATTACACTTATAGCTTTATCTTTATGCTTCTTCTTGTATGCGAGATCAATAATTTTAAATGATCATTTTTTTCTTCGGCAATTTGATCTTTTTCTAAATCATTGGTTGAGCATTTTAATAAATTTTTATACTTATCACACTGCTGTCATGTGTCATTATTAGGCTTTTTAAATCCTTAATTAAATTTTTCAACAAATATTTTTCTATCTTGTACGAACTTACTACTAATAAAAAGATTTTTTTCTAAACAATAATTCTTGTAAAGTCTATATATAGCACTTATTGAGAGATCCGGATTTAAAAAATTATTTTTATTTGTGTAGTTTCTTAAATAATGACTTATCTGAACTGAAAACATTTTTATATAATCACATGTAATATTTTTTAATATTTATTCCAGAATCAGATAACCTTGGGTAGTTCAAATGACATTCTCTACCATCAATTGAACATACATTACCCCACCCATTGAACGTTTTTTAGGCATAATAACCTTAATTTTCTTGAGACTTATGTCTTATGTACTCATAAACATTATTTGGCATATCTCTATTTTTTAAGAAAATATTGTTTTGATAATTGCCTTCTACTATGTCTGTTATCATTTTTTATAGCTGAGTCTTTTTAGGATATTCTTCAATAGAACCTGTTAAGAACTAATTTTGACTATTTATATTTAATGTGTAACAATTGTTAAAAATAATAAGCCTTTCATCATCATTTATTTTTTGATAACAATTACGTTTGCATTTACGTGGTACTTTCATTAATTTTGCAGAAACTTTTTTACCTTTTAAAGTACAATATTCTTTGCCTTCAGTTTTAAGTTTTTTACGTATAGTGTTAGCCCAGGCATCAATATTTTTTGTTCGTTTTCTGGTACGCAATTCATCTACAACTTTTTTCTGCCACCACTTCAAGAAGATATTGAATCTTGTTGTTGGTTAATACTTATGATAATATCATTAATTAAACTTGCAGTATTGTCGTTTGAATCATGTACAAAGTCATTGCTATTCTCATCACTGCTCTCATTATCAGTTTGAATTTTATGATTGTACGGAGTATACTCTTCACTTCATTGATCAAATACTAATTCACTATCAGAGTTAGAAAAATAATCAGAAGACAACTCTAAAAAACGATAAAATAAAATGCAAATTAATATGAATAATAATTGTCTATACTTACAATTAACAATATTAGTAGTTATATTACACAGTGATACAAGACGTCTGGCTCTTTAGCTTTTACTCATTTTATTAACAAAATACAATAATTATTTATCCGTGCATTATAATATAACAACAATTAACAGTGTTAAAATCCATTTTACTGTTGTTTTAATTTGGAATCAGTAACTGATAGCGTAGAAACAGAATTACCAATTAATAATTATTGAGGTATAACAATTTAATTATTTAAAACAATTAATATTATAATACAGTGTGGGACCAATGTAAATGATTAAACACAATTTTTAATTGTAAAAGAGCCAATGTAAACATTAGCCGTTTTAGAAATATAAATAATTATTTTTGTAACATAAGCCCTTGTATCTCAGTGATAATTGGTATTTGAGTTATACCCTTTTAGCACAAGAAAAAGCGTATTAAATTTTATACATTAGTTCTTTAAACTCATTTTTGTAAAAAAGTGAGATTGGCCCTTTTAGACCTAAGCTACATAATTAACTATATTTTATTGTTTACTACACATATATCTACTACCTAAAGATTTTATCATGTCAGATATATTATTTAATATTTAGTTATCATTATTTGTTATTTTTAAATTCATCTATACAAAGTGTACTAAAAAAAAATTATTTATTTACAGACTTCTTATAGCACAGAAGAACTCAATCAAGAGATGGCAAACTTAGAAGGTCTAATGAAAGATCTAAGCGCAATTACTGCATCTGAATTTCAGTGTTAGGAACAGATTTTTATGTAATTCTGTTAATTATAAAATAATTAACATTTTAAAACACTCAGATTATTTAGATATAATTTTAAATATTAAATGCAGTATATCATAAAGACTGATATCTGATATTCAGAGTGACTATTTTAAACCGCCAGATTACATTTATAGTTATGTGTATATTTTTATTTATTTAGACACTTGTTTATACTGAAAAAAAAATGATTTGTTTGAATTTGTCATTCCTGTTTATTTTGTGATATTTTAAAAAGTGATTTCTCGGTAAATTAGCAATAACTTAATATGTTCCCATTTATGATTTATATAGTTTATATAATATAATATTACAAGTTAGGTCTGGCAATTGTATGGGATTTATATATTGTAAATGAAATGAATTGGTATTTCATATATTACTAAAAACTAAGGTTGGCAATAAAAATGATAATTTATTACATATGTGAAATTGTTAAATACAACTAAGTTTTAAACATCTCCCCGCCCTCATACCCTTATATTCTGTATATTTAGCATAACATTCTAAACAAATGAACATTTTTTATTTAAACATTTGGTTTTTTCATCATAGATACAATTTGTATCATCTATTTTGTAATGGTCATTTTATATTTTATCACAATAAGTATGTTGATAGAACATGTAACGTAAAATTAATATTTGAATTATCATGACTTACTTGTTATAACAGTTATGACTGTAGCGACTGTCGTTTAGGTTAATTTTATCAGCAATACATTGTTATTATTTTCTATACATTCAACTATAAATTACCAAACATTATTATGATTATTATTTTATTCTTAACAAAAGTACAAAGTATTTATTATTCAATAAAATAATATGCTCTCATACATTGCATAAAAATTGTGATTTATAATACTTAAGTCTTTAAATATATTTAAAAAAATTTCAAAATCAAAAAAACTTAATTTTATCATAATATTGTTTACCAAGAGTTTTTATTTTTTTTTTTTTTTTTTAATGACATTTTACAAATCTTAGTTAAAATGTATGTACAATTTTTTTTTTTTTTTTTTTTTTATTGAAAATATTGCGTAAAAACTTTCAATTGATATTATGGTCAAATTTTATTCCGAGATTAAACATTTTTTTCTGTTTTTCATTTAAAAAAAAATTTTATTATAAACTTTGAATTTTATTGGATTGATAAGTATTAAATGTCTAAGTACATTAAATAATAATATAGTTGATTTTAAAATTAATATTTATACTTTTACCTTTATGGGTTAAATCAAAATCACAAAAAATCTATACTAGTCAACTGGTGGTTTAACTGTGTGGAATATTTTTATGTTAAATTTTACATAATACTATTTTGTTCATTTAAAATATATAATGTGTATTTGATAACTTTTCATTTGAGTATAAATTAAAATATTCTTATCACAGTCTTACTAGCCAATATTTTATCAAAATATTATGTCATTTAAAGTATTATTTTTACAAGATATTCACATCATATTATAATTTTTACAACTACAACTTATATTAGTGTTTCTTAAAGATAATTTTTTTTTCTTTGTTTTTAATATTATACTGCCATTAAAATACAACTTGCAATAATGCATCAATTATTTTTGTATATATTATGTAAGATATATGTAAATTAACATTCTCATCATGTTTGTAAATAACTTTTAACTAAAATTACTCATATGTTTTAACAGAATTAATTTTAATCTTAAATTTAAGTGATTTGCTAAACATTAAATTTTATATTAATTCATGAATGATATTCTAATTAAATTTTACTAAAAGTAAAATAATTATATATTTTAAAAACATGTACCAGTGATATTTGCTTTATTATATACGAGTATGTATAATTTATTTTTATAATTTACTGTTTAATTTATTTTATATTTTTATATTTTTTCATTTGTTTAAAATTAACACAAACCAATATATGAATTTTATACATTTTACATTAATCTCAAATGTTTTATAATAATAACATAATTTTTTTTTATTATTATTATTATTATTATTATTTTTTTTTTTTTTTTTTGTAAAATTTTAACTTTTCTATGATTAACATTTATCAATGTTTACTCATTAATTAAATATGTAATTTTTTTTTTTTATTTCACTTACCTTTTTGGCTATCTATCAAATCTAAATTTGGATGTGCCTTAATTATTTTAAAAATTAAATTTATTTCTTTAAATATTTTATGAACAAACAATACAAATGTACTATTATCCTCTATTAGATAAACTTAGTTTTAGTAATGTATTTCAATCCCAAACATCACATGTCTGTATGAGACAGTTTTATGTTAATACAATTTTGTATACAACTTAATACTAAATTGATAAGTAATTACTATTAATCTTATGTTTATAGATCTCTTAATCGATTGTCTTTTTTTTCATGTCTTATTTAGTGCTTTATTTTTACAAAAATAATGACAAATTGTAGTTCCTCTTTTTCATCTAAACATATATTTGTATACCTACTTCAAACATGTACATTATTTTTAATAAAATTTTTTATGATTCATCAGTACTTTTTGTTTTTTAAGTTTCTTATGGCTATGATCCAAATATTATTCATATGTAAGTGTTTAACACTTTTAACATCACTCATGATTTTAGCAGTTACATTATGGCACTATATTGATCCTAAGGTACAATTCTATTCATAAAATTATAGCACATTTTTAATATTAGTTTTAACCAATTTTATGGTAGTTTTTTTGTGTATTAAATGACTTGTACTGTATAAAAACACAATCTATATTATATGAAAATAATATTTATTTCCTAGTATAACATAGCAACATAGCAATACATAAATTAAACAATGTATAATAAAATACAATAAAGTACATAATATCATAATAACAATATTATATTTTATCATAACTATAACACAAAATTAATAAATTATAATCTTTGAAAATATTTTGTAAAAATGATTGAAAACTTCCTAAAATTAAAAAAAAAGATACTCGTCCAATATGCTATCTACCTCACGTTTGATGGTTTAGTATGTTATCTACTGTCATTTTGAATTATGTGTCGATATAAATAACTCATAGTTGACAAACTCACAATGATAATTATTAAATAATATTTAATAATAAATAAATCGCAGTAAAACCACGTATATAATCGACACGACTCACAAACACACATTAAACCGGTATAAAATAAAGATATACCTATTAACCTACCTAACTTACTAAGGTATAAAATATAAATATAATATGATTTGGGTTTTAAATAAAAGCTTAATCTTAAATCTTAATTGCAAAATGATAAAGTATGTATAATATACAGCATACGGACATATGGTAGATATCATACTAAACTATAATAACATTACAGTAGATAAAATATTTAAAGTAGATAGCATATTGAACGAGTACCAAAAAAAAAAAAACTTAAATTATTTTAAAATATAATAATTTTCAAAACAGTGTCCTTAATAGAGATGTGAATTAAATGGACATAGAGTACAGTAACAAAATGTGTTCACATCTTTCAACTTCGAGTTTTAGAAAAATTTTAGTGTCAAAACTTTTACTGAAGTTGAGTCAATAATTTTCAAACATTTTTTTAAATTTGCTTAAATTCAAATCTATTTCTTGTTTATCAGTGTTTCAGTGATCATCAATTATCGATTATCCAGAAAATCGATTTGAAATAATATAAAATTTTGCAAACTTTAAAAAACCGTAGAAAATAAACATTTTTCATTTTTTTTTTTTATTTTTTTTTTTTTTTTGTGAATATGTTTTAAAAATCATAAACAAAATGATTATTTTGAATTGATATTTTTAAATGTCAAACAGAAAGTTTTTTATTTCTTAATTTTACATATAAAATTAAAAAAAAAAAATTATTGCAATAGTCAGTTCACTGTGAAACACTGTGTATAAATCGAACTGTAAACGGTAATTTAGTAGTAATTTTAGATGATGATTTCCCAAGTTCTATGATTCTATTATTTTTGTAATACTTTAGTTAAGAAGTAGCTGTTATAAAATAATGAATGCTAAATTTCTTGTACTATAACAGGTTTTTTACTCACTTCACAGGGGTATTAGGATATCATCTGGTCCTTACAATTTACAACTTTCAAAATCATTATATATTTTTTATTAGTAAGTAATTCCTTATTTTATTTTATTTTATTTATTTATTTATTTTTTTGTCTTGTTTATTTTATGTTTCTACCATGTCTGTTGTATACTTTATTGATATACCTAAAACATCTCTTTTATACTACAACATAAATACACAGATCCTGTTATATGAGTACTTCGATATAATTTCTTCAATTTTTTTTTAACTGTCGTTTTTTACCCATTTCTATGTTATACTCTGGTACTATGAGTATTTTTTGAAATAAGTTTCTGTACCAAATCTGATCTATTATAGTAGTTGTCTATACATTTCTACGTTTTTTGTGTGACTAAGAATGTGGTTGCAAAGTTGAGATCGTTTATACCTGTTTAAATCACGTTATCATTTTCATAAAATGCGAATAGATAAATCATAACTCACAAAATTGATGAAGAAGATCAACTGCAGAACCACTTCAAGAAAGAACCGTAATAGATACTTAACAGAAACTTTTAGATAGCAATCACTACAGAATTGAAAATAAAGAAATTAAAAACTCAATCTATCGTACTTAGTAACCTAACACCTAAATGAATATTTTAAATTCAATACATTCATAGCGACATTCAGAATTTAAAATGAAACTAAAGTAAACATAACCGTCTTGTTATTTATTATTATTTATATTAATAATAATCAATGAACCCAATTTAAATCCACAGAAGGTTTTTTTTATGAACATTTTTATATTTCACTCCCCCAGAGATTTTAGTATTAATTGAGCTATAAGTGAGAACCAAATTTCAATAAAATGTTCTAATATATCATACTGTGAAACAGGTTAGCTTCTACTGTATTCGTGTTTAGGAAAACTTACCTATCGTTTACTATAATAGACGTATTATAGATATGTAAACAGTCAAGTTTTGTACACAATATATTAGCTTCGCACTCTCAAAACATTATATTTCTTATTATTTAAAACGATAAACATAATATTTAAAATTATATTAATTCTGATTCTAGTATAGGTATATAGCAATTAACAGAATTTACAGAATTCAGTC